AAAATTGGAGGGGGTACTCTGACAGGCTTTAAATAATAGCTCTTTTTCATTGGTCACATTTTTAATTTTTTAACCTATTAGATATGCAAACTTTTTAAATCTTTCTATTGTGTTACGTAGCCTCAGTATTAGGCCTTTGATGGCCATTGACAAAATTTTTCTATGTCGAATCGTTTTTGAGTTGTAGGGGTTGTTGTTAAAAAAACAAAACGTGGTCAAAGTTACCCCGCCGGTTAAAGTAACCCCATTTCACGGTACCCCAGAGGGTGTCCCTTATTACACCATCCTGTGGAAATGGCTGCCATTTTTTTGGAACGAGATACGCAAATTCCAGCAATCACGTTTTTAAACCAACACCTAAGTGCAACTGGTATGGAAGTAAAATTTTGTAATGTGGTGAATACTTTCTTTACTTCTGACCTTCACAGAGGTACTTTTCCAAAATCTCACTTCTCACAGATTTTTAGGGATTTTTTAAAGGCTGTAAATGTATAATTTCTTAACTGGCTTTATGCTACATAGATAGTAAAATGTTGAACTTTATGCCACTATTTTTAGTTGTGAGATATTTTGATTAGTTTAGCTGCTACAACATTTCTACAAAATGTGGGACAAATGTCCTGATTTACCCTACCCATCCTTTATTACCCCGTTTGATGGTACTGCATTTATTTCGAACTAAGAAATTATTCCATATGTTGCACCAAGAAGTTGGAAAGCCCAAAATAGGTGATTCTATTTCCCTATGTAAAGGATGAAAAACTTATCTATAAATAAGTTGCAGAAATTTAAAACAAATGTTATTAATGTGTGATTTGATGTTTTTGATCTGAATGGGTGAAAAATTACAACAGTTCCACTTGAGAATGGCATTGAATTTAAATGATAAATCCATATAGCAACTGCTAAAGTAACTAGTAAATTTAGGAGAAACCCTTGAGTTCAACAAAATATTTGAGATTGATTTGTGCTGCCATACTGGTTCCTTAGTTGAGGATTCTCATCAATGCCAGTCTACGATGGTGAGTTTTCTTGGATGTGGGAAGCTCTCTTTTTAGTTGCTGTGCAAGGAACTAGGTCATACCTAATAGGGGTCCTTGCAAACCCCCTTTCCTGAAGTGCAAATGCTTATCATCAGTTAATGTGGGAGTATAACTCGGAGTGGTAATTGTTAGTTCACTGCATAAAAATAATTCATAGACCTTATCATGTATTTCTGTAATGGCAGTGTATTGAGTGCACTCCTTAAGTTCATTAGGCTTGATCATCTTCAGCCTTTCTGACTAGGTTAAAGCTAGTAAACTGATATACAAGTCATTCAAGGTTTAGTGGAACCCCATACCTTGGTTTGCACTGGTCTCTTTTTCTTGAATTATTCCCAATACATACTATGTTCTTTCTTAACTAATAATTTAAAAGCAAATAATATTCCACAAAAATTCATATCTTTATGGAAAACATTTCAGAGACCAGCTCCATTGTTAGTTCAGTGAAACAGTGAAAATTTGTGAAACATTGTCAGTTAAACAGTGAAAATTTTCACTGTTCTTTTTACCACATTTTACTGATTCTACAAACTGACAATGGAGCTGGTCTCAAAACGTTTTCTATAATGATATGAATTTATGTGTACTATTCATTGCTTTTAAGTTTTTAGTTAATTTTCAATTTAAGCAAACAAGTGATGAAGTGACATCAATTCTTTATTATGTTCTTTCTTGTTGTGATTATTCATGATTATTTATTATTATATGATTTATATTAAACATGATAAAAGACTGAATAGAAAGCTTGAGTAATAAAGTTGAACTATTGTTTTCCTGAACCCTATTGCAACAAATGCTCTCAGGCACACTGCCTGGCCAGCAATGCTTTTGAATTAGTGTCATGTAGCACAGTATTAAAATGTAGCCAAGTTGTGTGCATCAAAAATTGTTGATATATTAAGGAAACAATTGTGTATTTAAGTAACTTAGGACAAGTGAATTTTGTTGCAAATGTTGAAATTAAGGCCTCCTTTTTAGCCTCAAGTGCACTCTGTACAATTTTCTTTATCCCTCCAGTGTTATTTTCATTTCTATTAATATTATTCACTAAAAACTTCTACCTAATTTATTCACAATTCTCATCACATTTGATGATGGCGTCCAAAGAAAGTAGTGTTGCTCTGCACCAACTCTCCGATGCTGCAGTCAGGAGTGGCAGATGCCCTGAGCAGAGCCTCACTCAAGCGTCTCCTGGTGGCAGCAAAGTAAAGTCTGAAGGTAAGCCAGATTCCATGTGCCTCACAAATTAATTGTTATTATGCAAAGGAGGAACTGAATTCATGTAATTTTGTCAGATTTATTTCTCATCTGTAATTATTTCTTAGGAGTTTCAGTGCAATATTTGATAACAATATGTTAGAATATGCCACCTCATGAGTCTCACTTATCCAAGTGATATTAACTTTTGTCTAAAGCTCACATGACTCATTAATACAACCCTTGGCAAAAATTATGGAGTCACCAGCCTTGGAGGATGTTCATTCAGTTGTTTAACTTTGTAGAAAAAAGCAGATCACAGACATGACACAAAACTAAAGTCATTTCAAATGGCAGCTTTCTGGCCTTAAGAAACACTATAAGAAATCAATAAAAAAAATTGTGCAGTTAGTAACGGTTATTTTTTGGACCAAGCAGAGGGAAAAAATATGGAATCACTCAATTCTGAGGACAAAATTATGGAATCGTGAAAAACAAAAAAAAAAACTATTAGTTTGTTGCACCACCTCTGGCTTTTATAACCGCTTGCAGTCTCTGAGGCATGGATTTAATGAGTGACAAACAGTACTCTTCATCAATCTGCCTCCAACTTTCTCTGATTGCTGTTGCCAGATCAGCTTTGCAGGTTGGAGCCTTGTCATGGACCATTTTCTTCAACTTCCACCAAACATTTTCAATTGGATTAAGATCCGGACTATTTGCAGGCCATGCCATTGAGCTTATGTGTCTTTTTTCAAGGAATGTTTTCACAGTTTTTGCTCTATGGCAAGATTCATTATCATCTTGAAAAATGATTTCATCATCCCCAAACATCTTTTCAATTGATGGGATAAGAAAAGTGTCCAAAATATCAATGTAAACTTGTACATTTATTGAAGATGTAATGACAGCATCTCCCCAGTACCTTTACCTGACATGCAGCCCCATATCATCAATGACTGTGGAAATTTGCATGTTCTCTTAAGGCAGTCATCTTTATAAATCTCATTGGAACAGCACCAAACAAAAGTTTCAGCATCATCACCTTGCCCAATGCAGATTTGAGATTCATCACTGAATATGACTTTCATCCAGTCATCCACAGTCCACGATTGCTTTTCCTTAGCCCATTGTAACCTTGTTTTTTTCTGTTTTGGTGTTAATGATGGCTTTCATTTAGCTTTTCCCATTTCCTTTAGGAGGTTTCTTACAGTTTGGTCACAGATGGTAACTCCAGTTTCTTCCCATTCGTTCCTCATTTGTTTTGTTGTGCATTTTCGGTTTTTGAGACATTGCTTTAAGTTTCCTGTCTTGACGCTCTGATGTCTTCCTTGGTCTACCAGTATGTTTGCCTTCAACAACCTTCCCATATTGTTTGTATATGATCCAGATTTTAGACACAGCTGACTGTAAACAACCAACATCTTTTGCAACATTGCGTGATGATTTACCCTCTTTTAAGAGTTTGATAATCCTCTCCTTTGTTTCAATTGACATCTCTCGTTTTGGAGCCATGATTCATGTCAGTTCACTTGGTGCAGTAGCTCTCCAAGGTGTGATCACTCCTTTGTAGATGCAGACTAATGAGCAGATATAATTTGATGCAGGTGTTAGTTTTGGGGATGAAAATTTATAGGATGATTCCATAATTTTTTCCTCAGAATTAAGTGATTCCATATTTTTTTCCCTCTGCTTGGTCTGAAAAAAATGACAAAAAATTTTCTTGATTATTATAGTGTTTCTTAAAGCCAGAAAGTTGTCATTTTAAATGACTTAAGTTTTGTGTCATGTCTGTGATCTGATTTTTTTCTACTAAGTTAAACAACTGAATGAACATCCTCCAAGGCCGGTGATTCCATAATTTTTACCAGGGGTAGTATAGTGAGCATTAAATTTGCTATGAGATATCTTGCTCCATAGCCCAGTGGTACCAGTACACCTATGTATATATTTTCCAGCCATGGAAGAGGTTGACCCACCACCAGTCCTCGAAGTTCCTGCTATCTACATCAAGGAGGAACCTGAGAATGAAACTGAAGAAGTATACATCAAAGAGGAACCATTCTTAGATGGAAATAAAGTAAGTCAAGTTGATGTGCAAATAAATGTTTGGCAAAGTATTAAAAATTCCCACATAATTTTCAATAAACAAACAGCAGGATGCTATTTCTGTAATCAAATCTCTAAGTTATGCATCAGGAGACATATCTTAACCAAGTATTTAGTCTGAAATATTGAGCAATAATAATCAGGTATGAAGAGCCCTAACCCTCATCCTGATTATCACTCCAGTCCCAATTGGTTAGAAGTTGTGGGAAATTTGATTTATTAATACTTGCATTAGGATTTATATTCTAAGAACAAACCCTTATTTATGTCTCATAGTTGTCTGTAGTCAAATAACTATGATATGTAATGGCTTTTATTTTCCGGAAATAAAAATGAAATGTGGTGGCCACTATTGGCAGGAACCATGAAAAACTGTCCACATACAATGCAAAGAAAGAAGTGCTGAGAACATTTATGTATGCCAATTGGATTCAACAAAATTGCACTAAAAGGGCATTTGCTTCTGAAATTGCCACTTAATTTCATATTTACTTGCAGGCAAATGGCAAGCAAAATCTTTGTATGGCAAGATTTTGAAGATATGGCTAGCAAAATCTTAGTATCATGAAGCATCAAGATGAGGAAACGTTTTACAGCCAGTAATTTTGATGCTACGACATCCATATGCTGTTGAGGAAATTCGGAACTGGCAGATAATTCTATGAGAAGTTGTACATTAGATCCTATCTAAAAATGCACGTATCACTGTCAGCCACATTAATATTTTCCTCCACTTCACTTCTCCCCAGGCCTCTTCAAATCAACATCTTCCTGGTGTACCATGCAAGACTGAAGCAAAAGTTGAGACTCACGACGCCCATCCAAACTCCTCACAAAACACTTCTGCTTTGTTGTTGAATCAGGTATATACATGTATACATAATTTTAGCTTTCACTATTATACACTCTAACTGAAAATTTTGAAACATTTTACGAGTTCCTGAAGATGGTAAATGTTTCAATTTATTGTGGGTATTTACTAATGATAAAGTTGATGACTTAATAGGTGCTGGTATTGACACTAGGAACAAATGTCATTTTCCCAATGCATTTAATCCTGCTAGTGAAACCTAACAATTTTTGGTCTTCAAAAATATATGACAATTCATTTCCCCTAAGCAAGGATCTAAACCTGGAACAAAACATTTAGTTCAGAAGGAAGATGAGGGAATGCACTTGAACCTGTTACATTAAATGTAACATCCTTACAATCCTCATGTATCTGAGATCACATCCAAGAACAGATGGAATGGGTAATAATTAACACCACACTGCATGGGATGAACGGAAAATGGATTGCTTGGGTCCATGGTATGAGTTGATGAATCACTCTGGTTGCATTGGTGTGGAGGCTGTTGCTGGCCCTCTTAAGAGTAGTGCTGGTCATGTTGTTTGGTAGGATTGGCTGAATGATGTACAGATTGTCATCCAAGTTGTAGGATTGGTGGTTCTGTCATGTTATTTGGTGGCAAGGGTGTTGCAGATGGAGACATTGCAATAGTTATTGGGTAGAGAGGAGGTTGGTGTGTAATCTGGAAGTAAGCATTTGCTTGTACACACATATTAATAACACTAGATTGCTTAAATTGCAAATTTACTAAAAATTTAAAAGCACATAAAAAACACAAATTCACCATATCTCTATTGAAAACATTTCAGAGTCCAGCTTCATCATCAGTTCAAAAATCTAGAACGCAGATAAAATCAGAAGTTAAAGCAGTTGAAATTAATAATAAACAGGGAAGTTAAAACCTAAACTTTCAAAGATAAGACAGATCAAGAAAGTTGGAAGAAAAAACAGGCAAAACCGATTTATTCATAATTTATAGTGGATAAGAGCTTAAGAGCGCATTTAAACTAGATATCTCTGTGAAAATATACCTATAGATTAAAAAAACCCAGATCAGAGGTACCATAACTAGAAGCTAAAACCCTACCTCGAAGTTACTTCTGGAGGCTGGAATGTTGCACTTTTTGGGATTGTAGGGCACAATAGTACGTAACTGCCCAGTACTGCAACTCCTCCCTTTATGCTCAGCAACTCTAGAATAAAGATTGCCTGAGGTCATCCCAACTTTTGCAAATGTACAATTTGCAATACTATACCTATTAATAAACTTGCAACAATTGCTTATAAAAATGGATATTTGTTTATAAAAACTGAAAAAAAAACCTATTGTGAATTGTTCCTCAATAAAATATGAAGATTAATGTTTGGGAAGTATTTCATAAAAAATCTTTTAAATTCTTGTGACAGAGCTTTAAATGCATGGCCAAAATATGGGAAAGAACAATAATCAACATTTCTATTATCTGACTCTGGAACAACCTCACTGTATTGCTTGGACGTGAATTCTTTCATTTGGGTAAATAACAAGCTAGAAGGAAATCCGTTAAGCAAAAAGATATTGCAGAAAAATTCAAATTCAGTGTGCATGACATGAAAAGTATAACAAATAAAAAAGCTCCAGTGTAATAGTGTTTGACGCCCGTGCTACAAGAAGAAAAAACTGAAAACAGCTGGTGCTAAGGGTCGGGAAAGTCAATTTTTTGTTAACTCAAGTCTGAAAACAGTCACTAGATTTAATAAAATTGCAGTTGAGAAAGTACAAACTATTGTTAGGTTCAAGCTCCATGGTAAATTTTATTAAGTTATGTTGCAAGTTTAGGTGATCAAAGGCAAGTTTAACATGAGAGGGTTGCTCGAAAATAAGGAAGGTGTTATTGATATATCTGTTATAGAACATTTGCTTAAAATCAAGAAGGCAATTGGTAAGCCAAGCAACCTTTGAATGCAGCCTTCAGCTCTTATCCACAAAAAATTGCAAATAGATAGGTTATGCGGTTTTTTTTATTTCATATTTTTACTTTTTTACTCTGTCTTTTGTTTGTAAATTTAGATTTTAATTTCTGATTTTTTTTTCATTTTGTTTGCATTAACTTCTGATTTTATCTGTGTTCAAAATTTTTTTAACTGACAATGGAGCTGGACTCCAAAACATTTTCATTAGGGATATGGTGAATTTGTGTTGAATTTCCTTCTCTTTTAAATTTTTAATCATTTGATATTCAGAGTGAAGTTTTTTGGCTGTTGTGTTGCAGCAAGCAGTTATTGTATGCAAGGTGATATTTTGAACTGTTTGCAGGCCAGTGGAGTTAGTGGAAGAGGAGATAGGAGGCCAGATTGGGCAAGCATAGTTGATTATGAGATGATAGATAGGTTACTAGGTTTGTTGTTGGTGTTGGTAGACCTGGTATTGTCCATTTGATGCTCACGAGAGGGTTTTTTAGTATGTCATCCCATTTTAAGGCTTTAGCTGCTGTGACTTGTGGTGGTCGGTGAAAGTGAGCATGACATCAAAGATTAGGCAAGGATTTTTGGGTTGTGTTCACGCATAAGGTGTTGGTTATTGATTTTGACATGAGGGTGGTAATGGCTCTTGGACGTTTGTGGTTTTATAAGGTTGAGTGTATATTTAGTGATAGTGATGTTGAGGCTTTAGTGAAGAAGTTGTGTATTGCCTTGCTGTCAAAGTGTCACAACTAATTTGCAACACTGTAACCCCATTGAAAATCATATTCCAAATTTAAGAAATGAATGTATCTGAAATAATATAAAATCTAATCTAGGTGCATCTAATCTAGGTACTCTACATGAGTAGTAATTTCCATTACAGTTTTATCAGCATTAAATCAAAGCCATAATCTATGACTGAAGTTGAGACCCAGTAATGGTAATTCTATTATATGCTTAGGCAAAGTATTAATGTTGAGTAATCCTTTCATAAATCAGAACATACTGGGCAAAAGTTTATAGATTTGTAAAATATTTGTTACAAGTTTGAATTTCTGTTGAGACAATTAAGAGATTTTAATAAGGATCAACACTTGAAAGTATACAGTTCTGTGGCTGTTATTAATATAGGAAACTGTTTTACTTTGTAATTTTTTCATTAGTTTGGCGAAGGTGGGTCAGCATTTAACCCATCAGGAGACGCTGCTGGCGACACTGGCATCTCTGGGGCGTCCAACTCCAAGCAAAACATAGAAAAATCGTTCAAACATTCAGCAGAAAAATCTTTGCAGTGCTCCAAGTGTGATTATGCTTGCACCACAAAAAGGAACTTGAAAATTCATTTGCTCTCAAAGCATTCAGAAGTAAAACCTTATCAGTGCTCTGAGTGTGATTATGCTTGTATGAAGAATTACCTCATGAAAAGACATTTTCTTTGGAAGCATTCTACTGAAAAACCTTTTCAGTGCTCCGAGTGTGATCATGCTTGTATCACAAAATGGGACTTGAAAAGTCATTTTCTTAACAAACATTCTGCAGAAAAACCTTTGCAGTGCTCCAAGTGTGATTATGCTTGCACCACAAAAAGGAACTTGAAAAGTCATTTGCTCTCAAAGCATTCAGGAGTAAAACCTTATCAGTGTTCTGAGTGTGATTATGCTTGCACCAGAAAAGAAAACTTGAGAACACATTTTCTTCAAAAGCATTCAGAAGTAAAACCTTATCAGTGCTCTGAGTGTGATTATGCTTGTTCCACGAATTTCCTGATGAAAAGACATTATCTTAGCAAGCATTCTACTGTAAAACCTTTTCAGTGCTCCGAGTGTGATCATGCTTGTACCACAAAATGGGCCTTGAAAAATCATTTTCTTTACAAACATTCAGCAGAAAAACCTTTCCAGTGCTCCAAGTGTGATTATGCTTGCGCCATAAAAGATCACTTGAAAAGGCATTTGCTCTCAAAGCATTCAGAAGTAAAACCTTTTCAGTGCTCTGAGTGTGATTATGCTTGCACGAAGAATTTCCTCATGAAAAGACATTTTCTTAGCAAGCATTCTACAGAAAAACCTTTTCAGTGCTCCGAGTGTGATCATGCTTGTACCACAAAATGGGCCTTGAAAAATCATTTTCTTCACAAACATTCAGCAGAAAAACCTTTCCAGTGCTCCAAGTGTGATTATGCTTGTGCCACAAAAGATCACTTGAAAAGACATTTGCTTGCAAAGCATTCAGCAGTAAAACCTGTATCAGTGTTCCGAGTGTGATTATGCTTGTACTATGAATTGGGACATGAAAAGACATCTTTTCAAACATTCAACAGAAAAACCTTTTAAGTGCTCCAAGTGTGATCATGCTTTCACCACAAAAGGGCACTTGAAAGAACATTTTCTTTACAAACATTCAACTGAAAAACCTATTCAGTGTTCCGAGTGTGATTATGCTTGCACTACAAAAAGGATCTTGAAAAGGCATTGTCTTTGCAAGCATTCAACAGAAAAACTTGTGCAGTGCAACGAGTGTGATTATTCTTGCATCACAAAGGGGGACTTGAAAAGTCATTTTACTCACAAACATTCAACAGAAAAACCTTTTCAGTGCTCCAAGTGTGATTATGCTTCCCCCTCAAAAGGAAACTTGAAAAAACATTTTGTACGCAGGCATTCAACAGAAAAAGACCCATCTGTGCTCCAAGTGTGATGATATGTGGGTCGACAATGCATGTTTGAACAGCATCTGCTCTCCAGAGGCCATCAGAAACAGCTCCAGTGACCCAGGCGTTAGGATGCATGTGAATGTTGTAAGCTTGAAACAGGAATCAAGTACAGAACATTTGATCTTTTGAGGCAACAGGACCAAGCTATATAGAGTACCTAACTCAAGGCACTCACTGCCACCAAATCCGGGGGGGGTGGCAGTCGCTTGTTACAGCATGGATATGAGATAGAACGACAAAGCCAAGATGACACTGAATGCAGATGCTCAGTCATAGCAGTCGTAACATTAATATTTGAATAAGATAGGTTATGTACATAGAAATAGGAGTTAAAATAGATATAGTGGTTGTAATATACATCTCAGTGCATAACAGAATGTTCTAAAATGTTGTTGTGTGAGCTCGGATTTCGTTTTGAATATAAAATGAATCTTTTAATGGTGACGGAGAGCAAGTGCTTTTGCTCATTGGGGCTTGAATGCTACTTTAATGTAATATCAGCAGCCATTTTTCTTGAAGTCTTCTTGAGGGGATGGCAGGCGTCAGTGTTGTGAGAGTGGCAGTCATGCTCCTAGGGATAACAGTGTTGCAGTTATTCCCAGGTTTGCTAACTGGCGGTTTTTAACTCTGCTGGTGGTTTTCTGACGACAGAATACTCTTTGTCGTTGTACAGGGTGCGGCGTGGGAACTTACTCTTTTAAAAAAATCACAAAGTAAAAAGTATTAAAGATAGCGTTTTAATTCTTTCTTTTTTACAAAGAGCTACATTTAAAGTTTCGTTGGGTTTACTTACAAGTTTAATTCTTGAATATTACATCTTGTAGGTGACCTCCATGCTGTTCAATACATTTTGTCAGACGAGATCGGAAGTTTCGCTCCACCTTCTCAAGCATGTCTGGACCAATGTCAGCAATAGCAACGCGAATGTTGTTCTTCAGTTCAGCTAGGGTCCTCGGACGATTGGTGTACACTAAGGATTTCAAGTATCCCCACAAAAAATAATCGCAGGGGGCTAAGTCCGGCGAGCGCGCTGGCCACTGGAGATCGCCCCTTAAGGAGATCACGCGTTGTGGAAAGTGTTCGCGCAAGAGAGCCATTGAAGCGCGTGCTGTGTGAGCCGTGGCCCCATCTTGTTGAAACCACACATTTCTTACACCAAGTTCATCAAGTTTTGGAAGGAAAAACTCTTGAATCATCTGAATGTACCGTTCAGAAGTGACTGTAACTGCCCTATCGTTCTCTTCAAAAAACCATGGGCCTATGATGCCAGTCCTGGATAAGGCACACCAAACAGTCACTCGTTCTGCATGAAGGGGCTTCTCATGAAGTTCTCGGGGGTTCACACCACTCCAATATCGCATGTTTTGCTTATTCACACACCCTGACAGATGAAAATGTGCTTCATCACTAAAAAACACAAGTGCGTTGTTAGGCAAGTTTTCAACGATGGCTTCACATGCCCTTTGTCGTGAAACAAAATCACGTGGATTTAGTTTTTGCACCACTGCCAGTTTGTAAGGGTGGAATTTTAAGTCTTGGTGCAGAATTCGCCTAACTGTGCGATCGGAAATTCTAAGCGCAGATGCATGTTTTCGTGCGGATCGCTTAGGTGATTGCAAAACCGCCTGCCTTACTCTCTCGACATTTTCTGGCGTCCTAGTGGTTTTGGAAGGACCTGGTTTTTGTTTCCACACACTGCCTGTATTCATAAAAGTATTCACCCACTGAACGATTGATGTACGACCAGGAACACGACCAGTGGGCGCGACATTAAACTGCCTCCTAAACGCACGCTGGGTTGCAACGATAGACCGGCCACTAGAAAAGTACACAGAGACTGCGAACGCGCGCTCCTCTCTCGACCACTGCATGGTCGCAACTGAACTGAGTGGACGAAAAACTTCATAGCCCGCGCACCATATTGCGCATGGCGCCACCTTCCTAGGACTAATGGCCGCCACGTGGCGCGCAATTCAAATAAGTAAGTTCCCGCGCCNGCGAATTTATGCACGTTTAGCTGTTTAAATGTAAGCAGTTTTCTCTGTATTGCCATATAACTCACGAACGAAGGCCAATTCGAAAAAATTGTCCCGAGCTAAACATCACCGTTGAGAGGTAAGGTATCAATATACGAAGTTTCGTTCGAATTTGTTTAGTATTTTAGAAGAAATCGTACGCTCACTGTGAATTTCAACACATATCGCTGTTAAAATCACGAATGAGACAAAAGTGAAAAATACTCGCGAACGAAGGCAAAAGTGAAAAAAATATCAAGAGCTAAACATCACCGTCGGGTATTGAGAAATTTATATTCAAAATTTAATTCAAATCTGTACAGTACTTTAGAAGAAATGTCACGCTCACTGCAATTTTCACCACGTATATTCATATAACTCAGGAATGAAGGCGAATTTTGAAAAATTGTCACGAGCTAAACATCACCGTTAGGCTCTAATGATTATGTGTACCAAGTTTCATCAAGCTACGTTCAGTATTTTGCGAGATATTGCACGCTCACTGAATTTGGAATCACGGCCGCGAGACCGGCCGTGAGAGAGGCCGCGTTTTTGTCCGAGACGTCAAATGGGAGCTTAAGTGTCATGCAATAGCAGAGCTGTGCAGCGCTACTTTGAAATGCAGCGGCCGCTACCGCTACATGCTCTAAATGTAGCGGGCGCTACCGCTACCGCTACAATTGCTTGAATAAAGCTCCGCTACCGCTACATGTAGCGCGCTACTGCCCACCTCTGTGCAATAGCACGAAAGTGTGAGTTACATCAAACATGGGGTCGTACTGGGAATAATAGACCAAGAGAGGAATGGATGATAACAGTACAGGGTGCAACAGGAATCGAATGGTATGTCAAAGAATGGAAAAAAGAAATAGAAAAGTGAGTGAAATTGAGTGGTGTAAGAGTTTGGAAGCAAGGAATGGAAAGAAAGGACAGCATGAGATTGTACGAGATGAAAGAGATGCCAAAATATGAGTATATATATAATAATAATATTAATAATAATAACGGTTTCAGCGTTTATTAGGCCGTAGGCCTGTCGCCGATTCTTAACATTGCAGAACAAGAGAGTTAAGTTTCAGCCGTGGTCGAGAGCGGACGCTCGTGTTTTGCGGTCCCAAATTTTCAAATTTTAACTTTAACTGTGCCGTTTTCGGAACTCTTTTTGCATTTTTTTATGATCCGTGTTAGTGAATGACTGAATTTTCAGTGAAGTCAGTAAAAGAGAGTGCAAATAGAAAAAAAGCCTATAGTAAAAGTGTTTCCATCTGAAATAACGCGATCTAAAGTCAACGAGGGCCGCAAGCAGGCCAGGCGAGGGCAACGTGCAGCACTGCCCCGCCAGCGTAGAACAATAGAGCCCTTGTTTTTATGGCCAAGCTTACCTCTTCTACCCTGACACCTTTTACAGCCGCTGACGGCTGAAAGCAGCTTATTCTCAAGTCTGTAACCGAGTTTTTACAGCCCTTTGAAACTTTACAATTTTTACTTAACTTGTTTCAGTTTTAAATTGTGTTTTTTCTTGAGCTCTTGCATTTCATGATGGCTGGTCTGAGAGGAAAAAAATTGAATGAGAAGGCCTCCAGTCCTGTTAAACCGAATTCGAAGATCAAATTGCAAAATGAGCGAGGAGAAATTTGTAAATTTTGCAAGCTGGGATCGCTTAACGTCAATGACGCTACAGTGGCCTGCGATCGTTGCGGGGATACCATCTGCAACAATTGTGCAAAGTTAAGCAAG